TCCCAGGTCACATGGACACAGGGCCTTCCCAGGTCACGTGTACACAGGGGACTTCCCAGGTCACGTGTACCCAGGGCCTTCCCAGGTCACGTGTACACAGGGGCCTTCCCAGGTCACGTGTACACAGGGGCCTTCCCAGGTCACGTGTACCCAGGGCCTTCCCAGGTCACATGTACACAGGGCCTTCCCAGGTCACATGGACACAGGGGACTTCCCAGGTCACGTGTACACAGGGCCTTCCCAGGTCACGTGTACACAGGGGCCTTCCCAGGTCACGTGTACACAGGGGCCTTCCCAGGTCACATGGACACAGGGCCTTCCCAGGTCACATGGACACAGGACCTTCCCAGGTCACGTCCTTCCCAGGTCACATGTACACAGGGGCCTTCCCAGGTCACGTGTACACAGGAGGCCTCCCAGGTCACATGGACACAGGGCCTTCCCAGGTCACATGTACACAGGGGCCTTCCCAGGTCACGTGTACACAGGGCCTTCCCAGGTCACGTGTACACAGGGGACTTCCCAGGTCACGTGTACCCAGGGCCTTCCCAGGTCACGTGTACACAGGGCCTTCCCAGGTCACGTGTACACAGGGCCTTCCCAGGTCACATATAGATGGGGAGCTTCCCAGGTCACGTGTACACCAGGAGGCCTCCCAGGTCCACTTGTGACATTGTACATTGCTTCTGGCTTAGAAACTGTACACACACCTTACACTTCTATGCAACTGAGAAATCCCGAAGACCTTTCTCTGTCTGCCCAGCTTGCAGAGTCTAGAAGGACTTTCCTCTCTGCCCCAGAGTGCGGCATCCCGACCAGGTGGTTCCAAGGCTGGGAGGTGTGTGGCTGCTCAGAACTGCGTGACACTGGCTGCGGGGCTCATGGTGGCAGCCCAGGCCTTTGGACCCCGCCCCACACACTGGCTAGCTTCTTGTGGAACCCCTGAGATTCAGACAGCGGAACTCCGAGGTCTGCTACCTGGTTGGGCTGTGAGGGGCGTGGCCCGTGTGCAGCCTGCACGGCCGTGTTGCCCTTTCCTGGTGGAATTCTCAGCATACTGTTGTGTCTGCTCTCTGCCCTCAGGCTTCACATCCTCTCCAGCTTCACCCACAGGGGCTGCAATCAGGAGAGGTCTTCTCAGCAGTGTGCGCTTGCCTACGCTGAGATGTATCTCTGCTGGGACCCCTGTTGTGGTCAGCCTCATGTGGGGGGGGTGTCTGAAGCGTGTCCCCAACAGCAGACACCTCTGCTGTCAGCCGGCCCAAGCCAGGCGGCGTGCGGAGGCTGGCCAGCTCCAGCTTGATTGGTTTGCTTGTCTGTGGAGAGGATTTTGGGAATGAGAGGTGTGTCACCCCTTCCACGTGGTCGTTCAGGTCCTCGTTGGCAGCTCTTCCTGCGTGGGGGCAAGGACTGGCTGTGGCTGTGACTTCTGTGTTCACGTGGCGGTGTCTTTCTTGTGTTTGGCTCTCCTTCCAAACTCTCCTCTCCATCGAGACAGCCTCGGTGGTGTCAGGATCGGCCGCGCCACCTCCTGAGCGCAGCTGACATCCAGTCTTGCCCTCTGAAGCTTCCCACCAGAGCCCTCTCCCCAATGGAGAGCGGAGCTGGCTAGCTCGGAGCAGAGCCAGGCAGCAAAACAGCCCTGAGTGGCTGAGATCTCGTTCTGGAGCCCTGGAACCTGGGTTCCTGCTGGGACACAGTCATGGGTCAGCATCTTCACCGGTCCTCGTCCTTCTGTCTGGCCCCTGTTCCCGGGACCTCTGGGTCTCGCTCTGTGGGGCTGCAAGCGGAGGGACTGACCGTCCACACCTCCTGCTCTCTCGCAGGCTCCGCGCATGGGCACCTTCATTGGCGTGTACCTGCCCTGCCTGCAGAATATCCTGGGTGTGATCCTCTTCCTGCGCCTGACCTGGATTGTGGGTGCGGCCGGCGTCCTGGAGTCCTTCCTCATCGTGGCCATGTGCTGCACCTGTGTGAGTTGCCGTTGCTGCCCTGTGGCCTTTCTCCAGCAGCGCCAGGTGCCGTCTTCGCGATGGCTGCGGGGGCGGGGCGGGCTCTGCCCTATCTCATTGTTCACACACGGGTTGGCTGGGGGCGAGGCTGCTCCGACCAGCCCGCCACACACAGATGTGGAGGCCTTTCCTAGCTGCATCCCGCTGGTGGGCTGCTTTGTGGTTGGCACTGGGCTGGGGTGGCAGAGGCCACTTTGGCTGCTCATCGGGGTCCTGCTGCAGGTGACAAGGGACAGCAAGGTAGCACTGGTGTTAGAGAAAGAGCCAGCGTCAGACTCCGTCCTCAGACCTAGGTGGCCTCCCATGTGCCTGCAACATGAGACCTTCTTACCTCTGTGTTCTGTCTGCTTTATCTTTTTTGGTGTGTGTGTGTGCTGGTCCTTGGCTTGAACTCAGCCAGGGTGTTGTCCCTGAGCTCTTTTTTTCCAAAGACAGTGCTCTACCACTGAGCCACAGCTTCACTTCCAGCTCTTCGGTGGTTCAGAGTCTCATGAACTTTTCTGCCCGGGCTGGCTTTGAACTGGGATCCTCAGGCCTAGCCTCGTGAGTAGCCAGGATGACAGGCCTGAGCCCGGTTGCTGTACTTTCTGTTGTGCCTCAGCTCTTCAGCAGCTTGCTTTCCTTGGTTTCTCCTAGTGTGTTGAGAAGGACAGATAGAAGATTCTTTCTGGAATCTTCCACTGTAGAGCAGATTGTTTTCTGGAAAGAATCCAAACAGTGCAACTTCACAGGACTGCCTTTTGGACCACTGTCCCAGGCCCCCCTGCCTGGCCTCTGGCTGGTCACCCCATACCACTGTCCCAGGCCCCCCTGCCTGGCCTCTGGCTGGTCACCCCATACCACTGTCCCAGGAGGCTCCCCCTGCCTGGCCTCTGGCTGGTCACCCCGTACCACTGTCCCAGGCCCCCCTGCCTGGCCTCTGGCTGGTCACCCCGTACCACTGTCCCAGGCCCCCCTGCCTGGCCTCTGGCTGGTCACCCTGTACCACTGTCCCAGGCCCCCCTGCCTGGCCTCTGGCTGGTCACCCCGTACCACTGTCCCAGGAGGCTCCCCCTGCCTGGCCTCTGGCTGGTCACCCCGTACCACTGTCCCAGGCGGCCCCCACCCGCTGCCCACCTGCCTTTCCCTGATCTGGTCCCTCGGTGTGTGTCTGCCCCAGGGCACTTGTCTGGACTTCGGCTGGTTATTGCAAGGTTCCCGAGGGCTGGTGGCTGGAGCAGGCCTGCCAGCCCCGTGGGAGGTGGGAACCGCAGGGACCCCTTGGATCTGCTTGCTTGCCCTCCTGTGCCTCCTGAGTCATACCCCTGGCTGGAATTCCCCTGGGCACAGGCAGATCCTGGTGGGGCCTGCTGGCTGTGGGGCCAGTGTTGAGGCCTGAGGGGGACGGGGCCGAATGCCGGTGTAGGGAGGGGTCTGGTCACCCAGCTGTGCTGCGGCCTGGCCTGGACGGTGACCGGGCCCCCACACCTCAGGGCGTGCCTTCCTGAAGAGCCACCTTTCTCTTCACAGACCATGCTGACTGCCATCTCCATGAGTGCCATTGCCACCAACGGTGTGGTCCCAGGTGAGGACCCTGCCCCCGCGGCCCTGGAGTGAGCGGCGGGGCTGCTGACCACTGACGGTGGCCCGCACCTTCACCCTTCATCCAGGAGAGGCACTGGAGAGCACCTGCCTTGCCTAGGGGAGGCAGAGAGGCTTGTCCCCTCTGCAAGGAGCAGCCCGGCGGGCCCTGCCGAAGGTCTGGGCTTCTCCAGAGCCAGTACTCATGTGCCCGCCCTGACCACCTGAGAACTGCTGTTCTGTCCTCTGCACAGGAGTCCAGGGCTGTGCTTAGTTTGGGGTCCAGCCATGACCCCTGGAGGGCGGGGCCTGTGTGGGACTTGACCCCTGGGGGTCAGGGGCTGTGTGGGACATGACCCCTAGAGGGCGGGGGCTGTGTGGGACATGACCCCTGGAGGGCGGGGGCTGTGTGGGACATGACCCCTGGAGGGCGGGGGCTGTGTGGGACATGACCCCTGGAGGGCGGGGGCTGTGCAGGGGACATGACCCCTGGAGGGCAGGGCCTGTGCAGGGGACATGACCCCTAGAGGGCGGGGGCTGTGCAGGGGACATGACCCCTGGAGGGCGGGGGGGCTGTGAGGGACATGACCCCTGGAGGGCGGGGCTGTGTGAACATGACCCCTGGAGGATGAGGGCTGTGCAGGGGACATGACCCCTGGAGGGCGGGGCTGTGTGGACATGACCCCTGGAGGGTGAGGGCTGTGCAGGGGACATGACCCCTGGAGGGTGGGGGCTGTGTGTACATGACCCCTGGAGGGTGGGGGCTGTGCCCAGTTTGGGGCCTGGGCGGGACCACTGCAGTGGCGTGTTGGGCTTTTCCAGGCTAGGTTGGCAGCCCTGTGTGGTGGTGGTTGCAGCCCATGCCGAATGCCTGGAAGGTACTTGCTGCCCAGTAGTCCTGGAGCAGGGACCGGGGAGGAGCAGAAGGTGCTCCTGTTGAGGTCATGTCCAGTCCTGTGGACACAGGCTAGCGCTTCACTTTTCCGCCAGTCACTGTGGTCTGTACATGTGCAGTCATTTCCAAGACCAGGTCCTGCAGTGTGTGGAGAGACGGGTCGGCATGTGAGGGTGGAGAGGGGGGCTGTAGAGAGGGGAGGGCTGTGGAGAGGGGGCCGGTGTGAGGGTGGAGAGGGGGGCTGTGGAGGGGGGAGGGCTATGGAGGGAGGGCTGTGGAGAGGGGGCCGGTGTGGGCTGGACATGTGGGCACCGGCTCTGGGTCTCCATCTCAGTTTCTGGCACTCATGGGCACTTGAGCCTGTAGAACCAGAGCTGACCCAGCATGGACCCCTCACCTGCTGAAGAGCTGGGGTCCTGTGGGGAGGAGGGCTGTAGCCCGGGTTTGTGGACCCTGTACCCCTAGCAAAGGTGAAGCCAATGTTCTTTAGCTTGATGAGCGTGGCGTTGCACAGATGACACACTAGCCTCCACAAGGCAGTCAGCATGCTGCTGGGTTGAGTGTGCTCAAGTCTGGCTCTGCGCCTGGCTCCCTGCCTGTGTCCTGGGTGTGGATCAGCAGCCCGTGCTTGCTGTGCACCATGAGTCCCAAATTGCTGTCCTCTTTCTTTGGAACTCTGCAGAACCCTCTTGAACCCCTAGTCGCACGCATGTTGAGTCCCCAGAGAGAGACAGCCCTGTCTGTCTGTGCAGGGCACCCTGTCTGTCTGTGCAGGGCACCCTGTCTGTCTGTGCAGGGAGTCCTGTCTGTCTGTGCAGGGCGCCCTGTCTGTCTGTGCAAGGAGTCCTGTCTGTCTGTGCAGGGCGCCCTGTCTGTCTGCAGGAGTCCTGTTGGTTCATATTCTACCTGCTTGGAAGGCTGTTCGACATGCAGCAGCCAGGGTCCAGTCTTATGGTTGGCTTTCAGGAAGGGGGTGCACTGCTGGAGTCCCCAAGGTCTGTGATCCGAGCCCAGGGTCAGCTCAGCTGACGGTGGCTGTGAGCACCCGTCCCAGGACAACATTCCAGACGGCTGCAAAACAACTGCCGTTCTCCTCCACCTGTTTTTGAAAATGGTGGCAGATTTCTAGTGTTGGTCCAGTGCGTCAGCGGAGCTCTGCAGACGTGCCTTCTCTATGTGACGTTTTCATGACAGGCACCGGCCGCTCCCCACAGTGGGACACTGGGGCTCCCGGGTGGGGTTAGAAGTATTGCCTGCCTTACATTTCTGAGTCAAGGTGTCCTTATGTAGCTCTGGCTGGCCTTGACCTGCTGTTCTCCAGCCTCAGCCTCACTCGCAAGAGCTAGCCACAGACATACGCAAGCACTTTCTGAGTGGTGTTTGAGGATGGGCTGAGACTTAACTGAGAGTTCTTCCCGGAGACACACACACACACAGTGCTCCCTTGACTAGACACACAGAGAGAGTGCTCCCCTTCCCTAGACACACAGACACAGTGCTCCCCTTCCCTAGACACACACACACACAGTGCTCCCCTTCCCTAGACACACAGACAGTGCTCCCCTTCCCTAGACACACAGACACACAGTGCTCCCCTTCCCTAGACACACAGACA